TTTTTGTTTAAATTTCTACCTATACTTAGGAAATAAGTTGCCATTACAACTCAAGGTGAGGAGCATATGTTTTTAGGTTGTAGATACTTCAGGGGCTGTTACAAGCAAAATTGGTTTTATCACTGAAATAAGTATTCTTGCAGCGATTGTCATTTGGAAGCTCTCCTTCCAAAGTCAAATAACTTTGAAAATTTGTATCACACAGCAGATATTTCAACAAGAGGAAAGCCCAAGTTATTATAGTAATTATTCTGAGGTAAAGAACTTAGGTTTGTGTCTGCTGGAAATGAAAAACTTACTTAAGTTTAAAGAAACAAATCTAGAAGATGGTTGTGTCAAGACACATAACCAGAGTTCAGATTTACACTGAACCCTTGCTTAGCTAAAATTCAGGTGAAATCCCTTTGTGTTTCAAGAGGTAAATGGCATTTTTTATGAATAGCAGAACAATGGGATGAAGGTAAATACCATTTCATGCTGCAGTTTGAATGGAGGGATACTTTGCTGTCATTTTGGTAATTTGTCCTTTTTTTTCTCCTGGTTGTAGAAATGTTCTTTTTTTTCCAGAAAATGATCTCTCATTCCAATCCATATAATAATTTATTTTCCCAGGAAAGAAAAATGAAGTTTATAGGAGCACCAAAAATTGATTTAGATGTTAAGAAGACATTTCAGGTACATCCTGTAGTAGCTGTAAAACATTGGGCTGAATTTGGCTGTAAATTTCATTGACATTTTTGCAAGTAAGGCTGCCTGGAATAATCCACTCATTGACATTTCAGTATCTCAAGGAATTTAGAAATAGTAGTCACCACAATTTAATGGGAAGAAATATTTCTTTATTGTGGCGTCATGAAGGGAGCTATAATGTGGAAGAATACAACCTCTATGTTCTTTTGATTAAAGTGATTTTTATAGTATATTAATTAAGTAGTTTGAGATTAGTATGTTATATTAATACCAATTACAATATATACATTGCCAGTGCACTTACAAAAGTTGCAAAAGACAAAACATTCTATGTTCTGTTCTATAATTTTTTCATATCTAATATTGTAAAATATGTATGTAATTTTCTTATATTTTTCTCTAGACTTTGGCAAAGCAGAATCTGGCTGATTTTAAGCATAATACTTTAAGTACTTTAAAAACATTATAATACTTTAAAAACATTAAATTACCAGATCCTGACTGGATCCATGGTTTCCCGTTATTCTATTGTTCAGTATTTTTCCACTTTTGATTCACAGTTTTGTTCACAGAGTTGAACATAATTCTTGTTTTAAACTACACTTTTGTCATGAAAAGACAAACCAGGATTCATGATGTTACTAGAACTTTAATTTTACTGTTAAAACATCATCTTCTTTCCATAATTTATAGATTGTGTTGTATATAAAGACACTCTGACCTCTTCTTGCCATAGCAATCACATCATTTGTTTTTACTAAAAGAAAAGGAAAAACTTCTTGAAATGATAACGCCTAATTATTAATTTTAGGAAAGTTATCCTTTGATTTACCATTGTTATGTCCTTCAGAGGGAAACTGTTGATTACAAAATCTCTTGCTGGTAACCAATTACGTGTTACAATGAGGCTCTTCAGCAATACTGGGAGATGGAAAACAGAAATTAAAGCCTCATTCTAAAAAAGCATTCATGGGTACAAAAGATAAGTTACAATTTTACTTATCCTCTAAGATGCAGTTACCCACCCTGGAGTATGGGAAGTGCTGAGAGTTTTTATAGACATTTAGATTATTCTGGCCTTGGCTCTTGCTGCAGAATTTCTTATAAATGGCACATCTGAAGAAGATTAATTCAATAGTCCGATATCTGAGATATCTGAAGATTATTTCAAGTTTTCTTAGTAGTGCAGAACCACCTAGATCTCAACTTCTACATTTTGAGTGCTATGAGCTTATCCTTTACCTCACCAACAATTTGTCTCTTTGTACCCCTGGATATCCCTCATCTCTCTCGTGTCATCCTTGTGCCTCTCGCAGTTCCATCAGCCTTTCCCTTCTTTTCCTGGCCCCCATAACAATATTTTTTCTTGGTAAGTCCAGAGCCCTTTTCTGGCAGATTGTAATGCTTTAGACTGACTGGAAGCAGAGTGGGGAAGGGTGACTGCACTCCAGCAACACCTCATTTCCCCTTCCACTTTTTTCCATGGATGTTATGTCTTCAGGCAGGACTACATGTATTTTCCTTTGCTCTTGCTGTTAGTAATGGCTAATATTTAATATTTCATGCAATAATGGTCTAAAGTGGCTCTGGTTCTGCTCTGGGGTGATCACTTCTCGCCTTGCACTCACTCCCAGATAGAAAGCGAATTTCTTCTCCTGTGTAGATTTGGATCTGCTGCTGCTGCCTGTGACTCCATGTGTGTGAAATACTCCATGGCCTCCTCACAGTGCGTCTCTCCTTTTAGAGATGGGAATATCCATGTTGTTTGGAGCAGCAAAATACCAAATCTGACAGATTAATAAAATGCCAAAGTAGGGAAATGTGCCTCAGTCTCTCAGTTTTTGCTCTGATCATCTTCCCAGTTTGTGGTGTGAAATCAGGACTGAGATTCAGTGCTGAAAACTCCCCTCAAAAAAAAAAAAAAAAAAAAGGGAAAAAAAAAAAAAAAGGCAGCAAAAACCTAATTACTGGCAGTAGGAATCTTTTAATGTCTAGCATTTTTATATTTCTTTTGGCTGGAGTCCTGCACTCTCTTTTATGACTTGAAGGTAAATCAGTGTACAGTAGCATCCGACCATAATTCCAGATATATGCATGTGTTATTAAGTTTTCCTAGTTCTTTATGTCATATATAAGAAGTGCAGTCTTATGTAAACAGAGGTTACATTGTTAAAAATGTATTGGAAGCTGCTGACTATTCTGTATATTTTGGATATATATTGGAATAATGATCAGGCTTCTATTTTACGTAACACTGATTTATCAGATTGACAATGTGTGTTAATGTGCACAGGTTTTAAACATTTTTAAGAATTAGATCAACATATTTTTCCTTAATTATGCCCCATAACAGATTTTTATTAAAATAAACCATAAATCACTAAGTAATTAGTATATATCAATATTTTTATATTATATATTATATATTATATACAATACGTGTATAATTTATAATAAAATAAATAATATCTATTTTATATAAATATATATTTTATAACGTGGTTTCTTCATTTGTGCTTGCATTTCTGTGTAGAGTTGAAATATTTTCTGCTTTTCTTAACAGTATCTATGGATGTTAGGGAAACAAAAAAAAAGGCTTGCTAGAATTTTTTTATTCAGCTTAATATTCAGTGTAGAGTTGTTGGAGTCATCCAAGGCTTGTGCTCTCCCCCATTATCCCATCACTCCCTGGGGAGTTATAGGTTTCCTCATACATGTCAGGAAGGTGTTTCAGAAATTGCATTTGGGAGCTCTCCAGGTGTAGGATTTTTCCTTAATGGATGTTTCCTGGGGCTTCTTCCTGAGAGTGGGGTGTAAATGTGCATTTCATGAAATCTGTCTCTTGGAATACACGACATTAAAAGGCTTAAAATTGACATATTTATAAACATTTTGCTGTCAGATATTCATGTTAGTAGATAATCTGTGCTCTGTAAGTAACACCCCAAATAGTTGGAGATTGCATTGGTGAAACAAACCTGGTAAACATTTACTTTCAAATGCACCTTTAGAGGTTCTGGTGTCTCAAAACGGATTTCTTACCTCCTTTTTAATATTACCATAATTTTTTGTTACTATTTTTGTTGGGCTACCATTTCTTTGGTGTCCATCTTGCCCTGGAATAGTGCAGATTGGGTTCAGACTCAGTGCCCCTGAGTCCCAGCAGTTCAGTGATGCCAGGTTCAGTCACGGCCAGGCAGGGACCAGGATCTCAAAGCAAAAAGTGCTGGTGTTGGAGGTTATCAGAGTAGCTCTGATCAGCTTAATTACCCCTCCTGTGTTGAAATGCCCTGCAGAGACATTATTCCAGGTCTTGGAAACCATGTGCACACGTTAGCAAAGATGTGCCTGGGCTCATTAGTCTTGATTTTCAGCAGGGGCAGTTTGGGCTTAGCTGGCACTCAGAGAGTGGAACTGGGCTGCTTCAAATACTGGGCTGCTTTAAAATATTAAAAAGTATCTTTTCAATAGTGCATGTATATTCTTCTAGTATATAGTAAATATACAGTGGTTTGGAGGAAACTTCTGTAATATTAATTTAAACATAATACCTGGCAAGTATTTAGAGTCCTTTCGTTACCATAATTCACCTCCAATTGCTTATCAGTAGAAACATGCCTTATTGTCCTGCAGGCTTTTTGTCCTTGCTGAGTCCTAGAATTAATATCAAGATAATTAGAACTACAGGATAAAGCTTTTTCTCCTGATGGTAAATCCTTCTTCTCCATCTTGTAGTGATCTTCTGTTGAGAAAAATCATCGAAATGTTTCAAAAGACATCTACCTTGTTTGTTTCACCTGGATGAGGTTCATGTGTTTGCTGTGTGCTCAAACCCTTGAATCATATTCCTCGACATTGCAAAACTCTGGAGCTGCCCACTAAATAAAATAGCATGCTTCCTTAGAAAGTGGGGAAAATATGGGATATCAGGATATGTACCATTAAAATCCATTTCAGTGTGAATTCAGTTTTACAATGAGTTCAGCGCTTTTGCTTCATTTGAACAGGCAAGACAAAAGTTTTGGTTGTGGTATAGCCATGCATTTATCCGTGAGAAAGCTGAAAATGGAAAGAATTGTGTGAGGGCCAAGAAAACTTGTGACAAAACCAAATTTGGGATGAGGTTACAACAGCAGACCAGGGAAGGTCATGTTTAAAGTTGCTTTGTGCCCATTTTGGGGTAGCAGCATTGGAGTTATTGCACGTGGGCTTTTACCAACATGATGTTCAGTTATGATTGAATGTGTATCTAACCTTGTATTTGTGGGAGAAGGTGAAGTTTAATGCTCCCTGTGTCTCTCTCTGTTCAGTTCTGAGCATTGGAGAAGGTGGATTCTGGGAAGGCAGCACCCGGGGACACATTGGCTGGTTTCCTGCAGAATGTGTTGAAGAAGTTCAGTGCAAACCCAGCGAAAGCAAAGCAGGTAATTAGACCAAGTTCCTGTTGGCTCCTGACATGACAAATGCCACGTGTCTGTCCCAGCATTGTGTTGTACAGCAGTGTGTCTGTGAAATACTGGGAATGGGAGGATTGAACAAAGCTGAGCTGCTGAATTGAAAACTAAAGGTGGGTTTATTGAGCAGATTTTACTGTCTGAGCAATCAGACTTTCTCCTGAGTGGCTACACTGGGTAGCACTGCAGAAGCTTTTACACAGAACTGAGGGTGGACATTTTGTAAAGGATTGTGCTGGGTATCATTTTCCTAAAGTATGGGAAGATGGCTATTTTAAGCAATTGAACAATGAAAGAAAAACTGGACAGTCTTCTCCCAATGTGAGATACTCATACAATGCATTTAGCTCTTCCCAGCAATAAAGATCCTTCTGTTTGCCTCTTCCTAAATTTTAGAGGAGGCACCCATTAGAGGGATGTCTCATATACACCCTTACTGATGGCAAAGGAAATAGAATCCTCCTTTCTTATACATGTATGTTGCCACAAGAGACTTTCAGCAAGGAGTCTTTACAGTTCTGGTATAATAAAAGAAAAAGAAATCTACATTAAAGCATGTTATTTTAAGAACTACCTCCCATCTCATCGTTTCTTTGCTTCTAAGAATTAAGATGTGAGGACATCCTCTCTAATTAAAAGCTCATTACAAATGAGCTCTGAGAATATAATTAATGTTCTCTGGGAGTGGATGCAGTTTTAAATCAACTATTGATATGGTTTAGATCTCTGTTGTATTGATTAAGAGCTTTTGGCATTGCACAGATGATACACTGAAATTCATGTATCATATTCATTCACAAATGGGGCTTTTTGATGAATGTCGTTATAAACCACGAGGTATAATTTTCTTTATGTATATATAGATAAAGTCACTGTATAAATGTGGTAGTATGGAACAGAATGCACTGGGCAAGGTAATAGTTCCAGAGTAGTAAGGATTAGGCAATATTTCTAATATTTGAGAGGTATTTTAATTTCATTGTTTTTAGTGGAAGCTGTGGTAAGGTGGAAGAGAGTTTGAGGGATGAGCAGAAGAGGAGGCAAAAAGTTAGCTTTTGAAATATGAAAACTTGAAAAGAATGAGGGAGCAAGACTTCAGGGACACTGCTCTAGATAACTAAACACTGTGTGAAAAGGTTATGCTTCCTTTTCTGTTTCCCTTTTGAGAGAGGAAAAGAGGAGGAGGCAAAAGCAGATGCACTGTTTGGAGAGAATGGATTCACACTCTGAGTACTGAGGGAGAACAGTTGTGTAGCTCCTCAAGGGCTTGAGAACATAAAATTTAAAGATGGAAGAATGTTAAACGAGAGGAGGATTGAGGTTGGAATTGGCCAATTTAGGGGCAGTGAAGCTTTCAAAATAAGGTGTAAAAAGGGGACCACAATTTGCAATTTTAGTGTGATTTCGTTAGTTGGAAGACCAGTGAATTCAGTCAGTGCAACATGACCTGGGAGTTGTTCTAAACGCCCTCCAGTAAAACCACTTGGTGGAAAGCCTTCAGAAAGATGTGCTCTGTATGAGTAAGTCATCAAAAACACCTGTCTTGAGTCTGTCATGACAACTTGGCACTGAATTTGAGCTGTACACGTGTCTCCAAATCAGAAGGAAATTATGGGGAGGGCATTAAGTGAAGCTCTAAAATATGAAAGAAATTTTACATCTTTTTAGTGGTTTTGAAGAGAAGGTAACTACACCTGTCAAAAATCCTTAAAGGTCTTTCTGCGAAATACTTCAGGAAGTAAATTCAATCTGTGACACAGTTGCTTTAATATATGACGAGATTTTTTTTGAGCAAAAATTCCTTTGAACATTCAAAGGAGAACAAAAATTAAGAAAAGAATTGTCACAAGAGTAACAAAAGGATTACCAAAGTTGGAAGCAATAAAATAATATAAACAGAAGCATCTTACAAATTTTCTGATGTGAAATTATGAAAACTTAGGCCACGTGTCTGACAAAACACCATAGTAATTTATAGCTATTTCATACTTTCTGACTGTTTTCCTATTTGCTTATGGCACAGTGTGAATAATAATGGTTAATGATTTAAATACACCATTCTTTTACTCTAAAAAAGATGAAATATAATTAAGTAGGCATAAAATGGACACTGTGAAATTGGGCACTCCCATATTTTGCTGGTCTGTCTCAAAAACTGTCCTGCACCCAGAAGGAGGTTCAGTGCTCCTCTAGGTAATGTGATAGAGGCTGGAGCTGGGCTTATGAAATCTCTGAAATGCACAGTATGTGCCATATTATTATTGAAATACGGCGTGGAATGAAAGCAGCTGATGACAGGATTGCTCTGTGCAGTTTGCTGCATCCCCTTTGCATAGGAAACAATGGGAATGAAAGAGGAAAGCTTCACAAGCAAAAATCAGCCAGTGCTCCCTCTGAGTACAAATGCAGAAGTAATTTAGAAAAATGTGTTAAGCATGGTGAAATGATTAGAAATTAAATTAGGTCTACTGGGATGGCTGAAAGAACATCAGCTGAGAAGCATCACAAACTTGTGCCAGTTGCAAGAATTTGCATCGTGGGCTTTGCAGAGCAGCACAACTTCCTTATGGTAATGATTTCAAAAGTAGACCATTTCAATGTGGAGGAAATGAAGCTCAAACTCAGCCTTTTTTCAGAGCAGCCCCACAGTAACAGTTCTTTCCCATAAATGAGATTTGGGAACGTTTCTTCCAGCAGCTTCCCTTTGCTATTAAGTTGGAACAATTGTGTTTAATAGCAGCTTGTCATGTGCATGCCATGAATGAGAGAGAGAGGAATAGTTCTTGGAAAAAAACAAACCACAGTTAAACACTCCATGCCCAGTAAAACTGGTGGGCAGGTGTTTCTTGTCATCCTGATGTGTAGTCTAACTTCTGAGAGAAGTTTAGTTTTTAGGGAACTTTATTGCCATCCCGACTGTTGTCTGGAAGTGGGGAGTACAGAACAGCACCTGGCTCCTGTGCTCTCTTCCAAGGTACCATGCCAGCTTGGCAGGCTCTCTTCTTCAAAAAAAAATTGTCATATTGACTGGCATTAATTCTGTTTCCCTTCTTTAATCCTTCATTATTTGAGTCTTGTAGAAATTATTCTGTTATTTTGCTAGGATTGATGCCAGGCTTATGGGCTTCTAATTACCAGGTTGTCTCATTTGCCCTTTAATTTCACCAGCACAGGACCTGCTGCCTTCCAGTCTGAAGAAGTTCCCTTGACATTTTGAGATCTAATGGAAAAAGAACAACAACAAAGAAAATCATTATTTTGATCTGCTAAATTCTTTTGCCTGCTGTTAAAAAATCCTTACACACAAAACCTTTGTACTATCTTGTTTTAAAAGTGCTTTTAACATTTTCCAGAATTATCTTCAAGTGAGAGTGTTCCTTCAGATGAGATTAGTACAACATCTTGCTTTTTTCCTGCACAAACTCAGAATACAAATGTTACATATTTACTCTTTCTGCATTGACAGTTTTCCTGTGTTATTCAGTAATGAACCAATTCCATCCTTTAATGTCTTTGCATGCCTAAATGTGTTAAAAAAAGTTTCTCCTGCCTAAATGTAGATGTTTCCCTTTGCTCTTCTTCCATCACAGGGTATTACTCCAGCTTCAGAGACTTAGTACAAAAATGTTCTCTGTTAGGCTTGGGATTGTATGCTCCATGTCCTTCAGAATTCAGAGCTCTAGATTATCTGATTACTCATAACTGAGATGAGGCCTTCATTTTCAGTCAAAGAGTTATCTTTAACTGCAGTCTGACTTTATAATTTTTTATTCCTTCCTCCCTAATGTGCCTGGAGAACTCTTAGATTTTACAAATGCTACTGAAATGAAGGCAGGGTCAGTGTGTCTCAGTAATTCTTGCAGTCTTTCAACTCTTGGCCTCCTCCATGTACCTTTCCTTGAGTTCCAGCCTCGTTTTTAATATTGCCCTAGGATGATTTTTCATTCCTTAGCCCCCACCCCACGGCCCTGGATACACCTTATTAGCAGTTGCAGTAGCCATAAGAGTCCTGCAGTTTAGTTCAGACTGGATCTAATCAGGACATGTGGCTCGAATGACCATTGAACAGCCGTTCAAGAACCCATTTCTCCATGAAAAGATCCGAGTCCAAACTCTGGGGTGTCTCAGTCCTGGGGGCTGCAGCAGAAGCAGCGCTTGCAGAGCACATTCCTGGCCCAGCCTAAAATGCAAATGTAGATGCTCCCATGCTGACCTCTAGTGTCTCTGGTGCTCCCAGCACGCACTGAACTGGGATTTCTCTTTCAAAATACCCCACAATCATTCAGGTTGGAAAAGACCTCAGATCATCAAGTCCAGCCTTTGACTGATCACCACCTTGTCCACTAGACCACGGTACTAAATGCCATGTCCTGTCCTTTCTTGAACATCATTTCTGTGCTTAAATGTTTGGTATCACTTACTCCTGAGTTTCCAGCAACTTGAAAATATGATCAGGGATTATCCAGTAATACCATAGTTCCCTTGCCCATTTCTTTTTACATATGTACCTATCACAGGAGTTACAAGCAGAAATTACAGCATTTCTTATCCAACATTCCCTCTAGATTCCAGGAGTTACCAAACAAGCCCAAACTGTATAAATAAAATGCATCCTTTGCTACACAATTTCTGAAGTACAGAATTTTCTGTATTCCATATTCTTAGTTTTTAACACCTTGTGCATTCAGTAAAAACAGATTTGTTCTTCATTTCCACAATCTCCATTTTATAATTAGCTCAACACCTTCCCTGGCAATCTTACCAGCCAGGCTTTTAGAGTATTATTGGTGTTCCTGCAAGAAAGAAAGTTGCTTTACCAGGAATTTTGGAGCAGAGATCAGTAGTGACAGCTGGCAGCTGCTGTGTCCTCTGTTGACAAGGGGCTTGGCACGTGTTAGATGTTTCCACCTGCCGTGTCAGAGTTGCTTTCTCTGTGCTGCCTTTTGAAACAGTCACCACTGTCGTTACTC